AAAAGCACAGAGAAAACAAGATTTGTAAACTAGTTTATTATCGAGCTTAATAAAAATCCCTTAAATATTATTGAATCTTGAAATTTTATTTGCATTTTAGATGGGATCTATCAAGTTTAATTAGCGATTTTTATTAAATATGTTGATTTTATTTTATTTATTTAGAGGCAAATGTTTTGGATCGGACTAATTTAAAAAAAAAATAAATTTTTAAATAATTTAAATAAAAAAAATTAAAAAAACTAAATAATAAAATGAAAAAATGAGAATATAATTTTCTTATTCCCAATTATAATAATATATTGTAAAACATTTCCGTTTTTCTCTGTGTGGCACCCTTCCCCCCGTCGTCCTTTCAGTGTCACACGCACACATACAGTGTCGTTGGAAAATCCACAGCGAGTACAGCAGACTTAATATCTAAAGCAATTTACAGTTATGAAAATAAGAGACATATCCGCAAAACGACAAGCACAGTGCGCCACCGCAGCAACAAAGGCAACAACAAGGAGCTCAGAAAGGGACTCATGGCAAAGGACGAAGGACGAGGGGGGCGGGAAACTTCTGCTAACGAAGTAAGTACCCTGGAGGACACTTAAGCGTGCGACCCCCGGCCCAACTGGCGTCGAGCGCCATAATGTCGCCAACATTTTCCGAAATTACACACAAATGACAAAATAAAAGGTGCAAAAAGTCTGCAAAAGGACGAAAAAGGAGGGGAGTGCTCTCTCTCGCTTTTTGAGTGCTTTCCGTTTGGCGGCCATGTTGAAAAGATGTGAGTGTCGAGTGGTTTCACTCATTGGCTGCAGATGTGGGGGCGTGGCCTTCGCAGAGCGGGAGATTTGCTGTTTTTCTTACAGCGCAGCCGCAATGAGAAAACCAAAAAGAGAGAGAGGGAGCGAGAGAGAGAGAGAAAAGTGGGTGGCTGGAGGGGCGAGTAATCAGTGGAAGCGCCAAGTTGCGGCTGGCAAAATGAGGGTTAAATCGCGTGCATAATTTAGCAGTTCATTTCATTCATTTGAGTGCAAGTGCTCAGAGATGTGCGCTGCCTAAATGCTTTTCCGCTGCCCCAGCTTTCGTTCTACCGTTTTTCCATTTCCGTTTCCGCTCTGGCTCTCTGGTGTGCGTGTGTGTGTGCGAGTGTGGGTGAGCGCTGGCGCAGTATCTAGCAACGTTTACCGCTACAATGACAAGCATTTATGGCAATTAACACTTTAGCTGTTTATATGCTGATGCCGCTGTTGTGGACACTTAATCGTGTCGGCCATTAGAGGCGAAACAGAGAGAGACAGAGAGAGGGACAGCAAAAGAGGTCCTTCAGGAAAAAATCAGGAAAATTCCGGCAATCATGCAAATCACGTTTCCCGGCTTTTCCACTTTCCTGCTCCAAGCTCTACACTCTAGCATTTCCCAGTTCCGTTTCCGCCTTTGCGTTTAGTGCAAATTCAATATCGTGCATAATTAATTTGCAATTAGCACGTTTCTGTTTTTGTTTTCATTCCACCAGCCGCCTGCCTTGCCCCTCCGAAATGGAAATTTTCTAATTACGTGCACAAGCTGAATGCAAACTAGTTTTCCCGCCCCATCCGCTTTTCATCCGCCCGATTGCCCGCCGGCATTTCAAGCGGCTGCCCACGTGCGTCCACGGTCTACCGTCCACCATCCGTGTCCATCGTCCATTTTCCGATTGCCGATTTTCATGGCCTGCGAAATGGGTTGGCATATGAAATGAGCTGCAAATTGATGGAGGAATTAGCGCAGCATATTTAATTCGTACTCGCAGAAACAACAGCCAGGCGATTGGGCCTCGTTTGCCCAGCGGGTGCGGCGGCCAGTGAATGATGGGCTAATGGGCTTTTAGGTGCACATTTTTAATGCAGATTAGGCACACATTCGATTAGCCGCTGGCGGAGGAAAAATAACTCAGTTTAAGTGGAGATGTTGCGATCAATAATATTCTTAAATCGAAACAGGATTTAATGTTGTGTTTGTGCTTAAATTGGAGGTTTTGTGAGATGATCATGTGAATATTTATCAACTTTTATAAATTTTATCAAATCAAAATTATAACTTTATTCACCATTTCTTTAAAAATATTTGATATTACTAATATTAATATTATTACTTTTCAATTATTAATTTTGGCAACCATTAAAAGAAAATTTATAAAACTAAATACAGTCGAAATGTTCATACATATATCCTATATATTCACAAACATATTCTAGCTGAAATAAAACTTTTAGAAGATCAAACTATGAGAGTCCAATTGCTAAAATTATTTATTTATTCCGTTCAAATTTTGTTTTATATTCATTGTTATTATACAAGTATATGTCATATGTAGTCGGAGCCTTAATATTAAATTACAAATTAATGATTATAATTCGAAATAAAGCTAGTACAGCCTAACATCTTTTTAGCATGGCGGTCCAATTAGTAGTTTAACTCGAATTTCTATGCAATAAATTTTACAAATGACCAGACGGAATTCAATCCAATGATTTATTAAATGATATAATTATTTGACAGCCAAATTAGATGAGTTTAGGCAGTCCAACAGCTGCCGCCCTGCCCCGCCCCTTTCGCCCCTCTCGCCCAGTTTGAGAGCTTACCCCGGCTGGCTGACTAATTTATGTATTAACTTTGAACGCTCATTAGTTTAATTAGTCAAACAAATTAACGTGGGGCTTACGGCAAGTGGAGTGCAAACAACAAAATGGCCGAATAAACAGAGCGAGCGGGGAAATTGCGGGGGGAGAGCGAGAGGCGCATTGGAGGCCATCTCCCTCGCACTTCATTAAATATACAAATACAAGGGATACGGTTTAGGGCGGTCGGCAAATTACGGGGAATCCTATAAATAAATTGGCAATAATTTAATTATCGCATAATTATGCAGATGACCGCGCACTTGTGCTTTTAATTGCCTTTTGTCGCGAGGTCAGCGGCTCATATTATCAGCTTATCGATTTTCCCTTCTCCATCCCCTTTTCCTCTTTCCCCTGCCTCCCCCCTTTATTTCCCGATCTGAGAGATTTTTATTTGCCTTTTAATTAGTTGTAAATCTTGCACAGCCTGTTGAAAGCCAACGGGAAAAGCGGGCGGGAAAACTGCCGCCATTGCATGCACTATTTATTTTAACAAGAGCTGCTCATTTAATACTTATTTTCACTAATTAAATGGAAGAGTAAGTACATCGGAGAGTGAGCGAGACAGAGCGAGAGAGAAAGAGAGGGAGAGAGCAGACCACATGCGACAGCAAGAGCAATTTTCCGCTTTTCCGCAGCGCAAAAAGTTTGATGTCTATGTAAACAGCGGCTTTCGTGTGTGTGTGTGTGTGCTGGCGAACTGCCAATTTTCCCGGCCCACTCGCACACACTCACACTCTTTATAAAGGACCATAGCTATATGCACATGCTAACGTATTCCGTATACGTCGGCTGTTTGAGCGCACTTAAATAATGAATAATGACGAGACAAGCAATTAAAATAATTTGCGGTTTTACCGTGCGTATGCGCATCATTTAATTTTGCATGTAAAAGAGTTAAGCACTTATTACACAGCGAGAAACGGGCTCAAAACCGGGGGATACCCTGGGGTAAATATGTATATCCGCCATCAATGGGCCAATTAAAACGAGAGCCCGACGCTCTGGTGTTGGTGGTAAGCATCTTAAAACTAATTAAAACGAAAAACGGCATAACAAGCTGCTCATTAAGCAGTCAAGTTCTTTCCCCTCCGATCTGCGGTTAATTATAGAACTAGTAGGGAAAAGACGAGCTAACGAGAGGCGATATAAAGCCAGGGGATATGGTGTAGCAGCAGCATCCTTAGATCCTTAGAGCTAACACCCAAGTTTCCATCGTCGGAGTTCATTAAGCAGCACCCGGCGTCCACTTAACGATGTCACTTATACGCCCCATTGTCCCCTCGAACCCAAAAAAAAAAGCACACAGAAAAACCCCCGAGCCGAGTGGCCTAACCACCCAACGACCACCCGCCACCCAGCCCGCCCCCTTGAAGGCCACTGCTGCGATGCGTATAAACCGCAAATTGGATGCGATATTAAATCGTCTGTGCCAAAGCGCATATAAATTTTTGTTCAATTTAAAAGAATTTTCCGAGAGCGAGCAAGCGCAGCAGTAAGAGAACAGAGAGAGAGAGAGAGCGAGCCCCGAAAGAGAGGGGACGAGTGGAAGAGTGAGGCAACAGTGTATTGTCCGTCCCCCTCGAACACTTTGAGTTTTACATAGAAAGTGTCAAGGAGGCAAGCCACAAAGATGATTTTCCCGAACGAGAAAATAAAAATGAAAGGGGAAAAGCGAAAAAACGAAAAACCAAAAGTAAATAAACCAACTAATTAGCAACATAATTATGGCCACAAAAATATTCTAAAATTCAATTAAGCTGAAGAAGGCACAAAGCATTCATGCATAAATGACTAAGAACAAACCAGGCATGCTTTCAGCACAACGAGGGAAAATATAAAGCAGGAAAATAGGGAAAATAACAATAAAAACTGAGAGGAAGTTGGGATCCATTTCGCAAGCACCCGACCGCATAAACAAACAAATTTTGCGCTAAATAATTTGACAATTACTCACATCCTCGAGAGGCGAAGGATGGATGGATGGCTGGCTGGATGGCCTTTCTTTGTTTCCGTCGGGTGGCTATTACAGTTGAGTGAAGAACTATGTAAAACAGGACTCCAGGACTCCTCTCTCCTCTCTCTCAAACTCCAATCCTGCTGCTCTGTGGCTTAGACTTGCAACAGACCATTACATTTGCTAACGAGTGGAAGGCAAATTAAATCATTAGATGCTAGTAGAGATTAGAGCCGCGGCGGGGAGGAGCCAATCCACTCAAAGAACCACTCGGCAGCAGCGGTGGGCGTGTAGAACGGAGAGTCACTCAAAACGAAAACCACCACCACCACCATAGTCGCAGCTGAAAGAAAGACGAGAACGAAAGGCAGCAGCATTTAGCAGTGGACTTGCCACAGGCACACATCAGAGTAGCACATCTGTTGGATTACCAAACAACCCTCGACATTACGCTTCTGGCTCTCAAGCGTGTGAGTCGTCGCGCGCGGATTACGCCCAGGATAATCACAATCGCAATCGGAATCGGAATCGGAGTGGCTTCCACATCGGATATTGGCAGATCCAGATTCAGTCGATTGGCTGCCCTCAAGGTGACAGGACAGGCAACGCGCAGTGAACACTCAGTGAACTCATACCAGTGAACTCCCAGTGACCTCTTGCCAAGTGAATCCAAGACAATATCCAAGACAATATTAACCAAAGACCCCAACATGGTCATGTTGCAATCGCCGGCGCAAAAGGCCAGCGATAGTGCATCCTCGCAGAACACAGCCGTCGGCGGCCTGATGAGTCCCAACTCGAACCCCGACTCGCCCAAGTCCAACACCTCGCCGGAAGTGGCCCAGAGTGGCGATGGTGTGGTCTCCTCCGGGCCAGGACTTGGGAACCACAACCACAACAACTCCGCCGGCGGCCAAGATACCCAAGTTCATAATCAGTGCCAATGGCTCGGCTGTGGAGGGAAAGAAGGAGCAGGAGCTGCGCTACTCCCTCGAACGGCTCAAGCAGATGAGCAGCGATTCGGGCAGCCTGCTCAGCCGCCTGAGTCCCCTGCAGGAGGACTCGCCGGACAAGGACAAGTCCTGCGTGGTTGCCAACACCTTCTCCTCGCCCGCTCAGCAGCAGCGGAAGCTCCTGGAACTGAGTGCCGTTCGCCATTTGGCACGACCGGAGCCACTGCAGCATCCACATGCCGCCCTGCTGCAGCAGCATCCGCACCTGCTGCAGAATCCGCAGTTCCTGGCCGCCGCCCAGCAGCACATGCACCATCACCAGCAGCATCATCAGCATCAGCATCAGAATCAGCATCCACATCCGCACTCGCATCCGCACGCGCATCCGCATCCCCATCCGCCCCTGTCGCCGCCCACTTCCCCGACCATGCATTCCGACCAGCAGATGAGCCCACCCATCGCACCGCCCCAGAATCCGCCACATTCCTCCTCCCCACCGGACATGGATCTCGAGCGGATCAAGCTGGTGGCCGCGGTGGCAGCTCGCACCACCCAGGTTCCCAGCACTTCCGCCTCCGCATCCTCTTCCAATTCTGCGTCCAATGCCAGCACCTCCATCTCCAACTCGAGCTCGGGGTCGCCCAGTGGACGGGACTTGAGTGACTACGGCTTCCGAATACAACTGGGCGGTCTGGCGGCTGCGGCGGCTGCTGCGGCGGCCACTTCGCGACAAATCGCTGCTGCCAACTACGCAAGGAGCGACACCAGCGAGGAGCTCAACGTCGACGGAAACGACGAGGACAGCAACGATGGATCGCACAGCACGCCGTCGGTAAGTGATGTTGGATAGTTAGATCCAGAGAGCCAAGAAACTCCATAATTCAGGCATTGTGTTCTTTCCTCTCTGAGGTGAAACTTAAATTGGGAATTTGGAAATTATTCTTCAACAATTATATCATTCAAAAATGAAATGTTCAAATCTTTTAAGAATAAGAATAATTTTGTTTATCTTATTTGATATGGCAAATTTCAATGAGCTCCAATCTGCACGATTTGTGAGAGGTAATTTGCCCATAGAAACTTGTCAATGTGCGTGGGCTTTTTTGTAATGTTCGTTTCGACAGTACTGCGATAGAAAGAAACTTTTAAGTTCCTCGGGCTGGTAGCGGTACTTCTGATGGCTAGAAATGATCTATACGTATTTTAAATATCATCCAACCAACTTTAAGAAAAACTAAATAAATAACCATAATAGCTTACCATTTTATATTGATTATTCAATTTTAAGATTTAAGTAAAGTCAGTAATGGCTTGTACTTTTCTGTGTTCGAACAGCTTCATTGAAATTCACTTGTATCATAGAGATTTCTTAAATAAATAGAGAGTTTAAGGATCATAGGCATCGATTTTTTGTTTTTTTTTTAACTCTATTTGAAAGTTGGTAAATTTAATATTAATATTGAATGTGAAGAATGTTAATATGGATCTAAAAATGGTTCTAAAGTAGAGAAGTTTACAGTTCGTAAACAGAGAAATCTAATATTATAAAACTATTGATCTTACACTTATGTAATTTGCTATATCTTTCTCTAATTAGATTGTACTACTAACTTCTGCTTCTTCACAGGTCTGCCCCGTTGATCTGACGCGATCGGTGAACAGCAATGCCACTGCCAATCCGAGTTCCGCCTCGACGAGTGCCTCCAGTGAGCGAGATGCTGCCACCAAGCGGCTGGCCTTCTCCGTGGAGAACATCCTGGATCCGAACAAGTTCACGGGCAACAAGCTGCCAGCGGGTCCTTTCGGCCATCCCAGGCAGTGGAGCTACGAGCGGGACGAGGAGATGCAGGAGCGACTGGACGACGACCAGAGCGAGGATATGTCGGGTGAGTCGAGTTATTATATCTCATTTCCTAAATGATTTCGACCCCAACCAATCCGATGAATGGCAAATCACTTTGATGGCTGGCTGTCTGATTTGATTGAAATCGATGGAAATTCCGGGCACGCCAGCTAAACACGTTCCCCCGAGTGTCTGTGTGCAACATCCGTGCTCGAATACACAGCCAATAAAAGGGGGCGGTGGTGGGCGGAACACCTGCAAACAGTTTGCATCTGTTTTTTTTCTCTTGGCCAGGATGCCTGTGGGTGGTGGTGGGTGGCGCATGTTATATTTATACTGCTGCTTGTATCGTTTTTAGGTATGTTTTGATTTTGAATTTGCTTTTCTCCCCTCAGAAAAAGCTGGGAATCTGCCATTTTGAAGGCCCTGGGATTTTTGTGTTGCCTGCTTTCGGGCGCAAGTCACGTATGAGTGTGTGTGTGAGTGTTTTGGGGTGGTGTGTTTATGTTGGCCATGAAAGCATTTATATTTTGCGTTTATTCAATGGCAAACAAATGCGCAAATGCCAGAGCAACCAAAAAAAAAAAGGATCTCCGAATTGTGAGGCTGGCACTCTTCGCTTTTCGGCAGGCAAACTTGTTTAGACCAAAAAGCTGCACTCATATCCAATAAGGATTTTCAATAGAATTGCTTTTAATTGATTGATTGATGTTTTAATTGGGGAAAAGCCATTGCCAGCTGGGAAGCTACATTTTCGTTTTGCACTCTCTTTTTTTTCTCTCTCTTCCAACTGTTTGTCTTCCTGCGGATCAGGTTTCGGTTTTCCAGTGTTTTTTTTCGATGCCTTTGCTGCCTTTTTCCTTCTCGTTGGCTGGCTAAAATTTTGCTGAAAATTAATTGATTTTCATGCTTGGCTCGCTGCAAAGAAATTGCTCAAATAAAAATTTGCAAATTTGATTGAAGTTGTTGTGGGCGGGGGGAAGGCGTGGCGATAGCATCGCTAAGCCGCTGGCCAAAGCGCCAAAAACAGGAAAAAGAAGTGAAATCGCATGGGTTTGGGTCTGATGGAGCTTAAGTTTAAGTTCGGTGCGGTTTGTTTGAACGCTGCTCATGATCTGATTATGAAACGAGTTGACTTAATTGGCAAATGGGTTTGCTCACAAGCGGAAATTGATTTGAATTTCATAGAAATGAGATATGACGTGGAAAAAATGTTCAGTTATTCAGGTTTTGCCTTTAAAAAACCTTTAAAAAAAATTACTAACATTTGCTTCAATTTTAACCAATTTTAAAGACGGCGAAATGATAAAAAGTGGGAATGAAACAAAAAATAAACCAATAATGTAGCGACTTAAAAAATATTAAAGAACTTATATCTTATTCGCAGTTGGACTGCAACTCGATCGGTTGCAATAACCCATTCTCTTTGATCCCTTTGAAGCCCTCGTATTTGTGTTTATCCAAGAATCAATGGTAAATGTATATTGCCAATTAATTAACCTGCCTTAAACTGACCCACCCAGACAACTTTTAATGGGCAATTCGTTAAGCGCTTATGTAGGAAATTATAAGCACGGAAAATGGCGTTTCACCGGCTTTAGTGCCCTGACCATCCACATCAGCATTCACATTCACATCAGCAACCACATCAACATCAACGTCCACATCATTATCAACGACACATTATCGGCCATTTCTGGTTGTCGGCTTTGCTGTTTGTGCATTTGTGTTTGTGTTAATAAAACACAATTAACTTCATCAATGGCGGGCGAAGGCTGCGAGAGCATAACTGCTAATAAAACCGACTCAATGGCCGCGCCAACGACCCCATGAAAGGGGGTTGGTATGTGGATGTGGAGTCGAGTGGTGGCAAACACTGAAATGGAGCCAGAAAGTCAGCCAGGCAGTTGGGGAAACTTTGCCACGATAATGATGTTCGAAATAATTATGTTGCTGGCAGTTTACAGCAACCCCTAGGCAGGATACACACACAGAAACACAAGGGAGAAAGACATATAGACAGACAGCCAAGTGTGTGAGTGTGTGCATCACGCATACGCACTGTTTGCCGGCTGGCATTCAACGATTGTTGGTTGGTGTTGCTGTAGTCATTAATTAGCAAGGTACTTAATTACCGCACATTCATTAGGCGCTTCAATGGCGCTGTCACACACACACTCAGACAGAAGGAGATTCAAAGCCCCTCCCCCACCGTCCCTCTCCTGGTTTATGACCTTTATTGGAAGGAGGTGTTAATGCCTTCGCTTCGGCTTAGATTTGCGTAATTAAAGGGCCCTTTGTCATTGCGACTAATTAGATTTTATGTCACCAGCACACTCCAATTTCCCCTTAACTCCCCCTTAACTCCTACTTAACTCAAACAACTGCAGCTGGCTTAATAATTCATAAATATTACGCATACGCCTGGGCTAGCTGCAATTCTCGAAGGCGCCATTCAGTGCGCTACAGGCGCAGCAATTTGCATTTCATTTAAATTGCAAAACATAAAACTAACAACACTAGCTAGGCACATTTTGCAACAATAAAGCCACATATTGTCTGCATAATCCAGATAGCCAGGAAAGCAACTGAAATGCGCCCCAAAAGTCATATGAAAAAACAAGCGATAACCGAGTTGAAGGGGAAGGGGAAATCCAGGGGTTCGGGGGGTTTTCCAACATTTAAATGTGGGCGGAACGGAATGGAACACTGGGGCAGAACCAACCCCCGAAACAAAAATGTAAAATGGCTGCGAAAAACTTTTATTCTTTTTCAGCACTCAATTTGGTGCTCTCTCTGGTTTGCTCTCTCTCTCTCTCTCTTTCAGGACTCGGGGGAGTCCTGTCTGTGTCCTTGTGTGTGTGTCTGTGTAATGACGAGCTCCATTTCGCCTCCTTGCAGTTGCCGTAAAGTCAAGTTAAGCGACAATTTTCAGAGCCAGGGAGCTCGGCTCGTTTTTACGAGTATATCCGTCCATCAGCAACTCATTTATTATTTTATGAAAATGGCAAAATGAGACGACAAATGCTCCCCGGGGTCGCATTGGCCAGGCGGATGCGATTACAATGATTGCCCCGGCACAAAGAACTTCAAATTTATAAGCCATTTCGGGGCAGCCCCCGAGTGTGTGTTGTGCTGTGTGTGTGGGCCAAATTATGCGCCGGTTTGTGGTAATTAACACTCGGATTTCATAATTAAGTTTAAATTGTATGTTGTAACTTCAGCCACCCCCTGTGGGCCCCACGCTCTGCCGTCTCCTTCGCTCCGCCATATCATCAAAATTGCTTATGAAGTGCTTTCGCCATAATTATAATTAACAGCAGCCATTTTGTTAATGGCAGACGCCAGACAGATAAGAATTTAGGTGTGATTTTGGCTTTAAATAGAGATCAAGATGAAATGGTGCTGAAGATGTATTACAATTATTGGCCTTAATTTAAAGAAATTAATAAATGACATTGATATATAATTTTTTTTTTAAACAAATTGATGTTGTTTAAGAATTAAAGGGATATGAAATATCTTTCGTCCAAATTATATTGTTGCTAACTTTCTTGAAAAACCTGTGAGCTTATCATACTTTTATCTGTTTAATAACAAACATTATTTAAAGGAAATATCATATTTTATTTAAATAAAAAAATTTTAACTGCGTCTTAAAAATATTATAATATTTAAATTAACAGCCACATTTTAAACTCTCGCAAAGAATTTAATATTACAAGAGAAACGAACAACTTTTTTTTCTTTTTTAATTGAACTTATATTTTAAACGTTAAGAATCGATAGATTGTGATAGTAGGGGCTCTTTCCGTGCCACGGACACTTCAGATTACCCTACGCAAATTAGCATAATCCTTTCAGTTTAATTAAACGCTACTCACAGTCAGCACAAATACTGAACTTGGTCCGACGGCTTTTTCTCTTTTCCCCCCGCAATGTCAGACATCACGCATACGCCACGTTGCAGCTCTCAGTTGAATGGTCAGCGTAATTAGGCGCCCTCGTTCGCCCTGCAAAATTGTGGTTGCAACGGTTATTAGCCAGGCCGGGCTTTTCCGCCTCCCTTCCCGATTTTCCCGGCTGCCCTTTGAACTTTCCGCCTTCCTCGTTTGTTTGACAGCGCATTAAGCGCGTCTGTCCGCCAGTATGTCCGTTGATTTTAACCCGTTGGTTTTCGGGGGGCTGTTAATTCAATTGACTCAAACCAATTGTGGTCAGGGCCAGTCGTCGACTCGCATCGGTTAGATATTGATGCTGCCGGCGGGCATCTAATGTGCCATTAATGCATATCAAAGTGCCTGCAAACACTCCACAGCCCATTACCAGCGGTGATGGCGGTGCCCACTCTGCGGATGTTGCCAAATTCGTTAAATATTAAATGAAGCGTTCACGTTAATTTTCGGTTTAATTGCCGGCCAGTCGGCCAAAAGTGCGGTGCACTTGTAGGCCCCCTTTCTCCTTTCGCCCCTTCTAATTTCACGCAAACACGGCCAATCATGTTGGAAGGACCAACGCGAGCATCCTTGACGGAGGGTTGACACTTTTGACGACCCCTTTTCGCCTGGCTGCATCGATTCGGCTGCTTTGAAAGGGGTTCTGTTCGCCGCAAAATTGCTTTTCGCCCGCAGAGAAATTTGTTAACAAGCCAAGTTTTTAACGGCTTACAATATTTACTGGCTTGGCCAAAGATTGCATAATATGACGCAATCCGGAGAGGCAAAAGTGTATAGCAACTGTATAGTAACTGATATTTCGCCGATAGACACACCAACTCATCGCAGTTGGCCAGTTGGCGAGCTGCCTTAATTGAATTTTGATTGTCGAATCATGGCAATCAACGGAGCCAGACACTCCGTCCCCTTTGCGAAAGTCCGCACAGGTCATCCGGCAGTCACGTGTGCGCCAACATGTGCCGAAAAATTCCAATTAATCCAACAATGATGCGGTGGCCGAGGTGATTGATTTCCGTTTGCCAATCCCTCGGGACATTGCCATTCTGTGATGTCTGTGATGGATGGCCCCGCCCTGTTGACTTATGCAAAAAGAAAGACATGCCGGACTTATCGAGCTCCTATCTCTCCGTTTCTTCCTCTTGCAGCCCAGGATCTGAATGACATGGATCAGGACGATATGTGCGACGACGGCAGCGACATCGACGATCCCAGCAGCGAGACGGACTCGAAGAAGGGAGGCAGTCGCAACGGGGACGGAAAGTCGGGTGGCGGCGGCGGAGGAGGTGGGTCGAAGCCACGGAGAGCCCGCACCGCCTTCACCTACGAGCAGCTGGTTTCCCTGGAGAACAAATTCAAGACCACCCGATATCTGAGCGTCTGCGAGCGGCTGAACTTGGCCCTCAGCTTGAGTCTGACGGAGACACAGGTGAGCAGTATTTTCTTAAAATAATTAAGGAAGATCCCTTTCTTGATTGATATTCTTAATATTTTATTTTAAAAATTAAGATGCAAGGGAAAATCGTTATTGCAATAATCTCTAAAGTCGATGAGTTAAATAAACCGTGCAGCTTAAAAGTTTTCATTTAACTAACAATATTTTTTGTATCAAAATACAAGTAAAATATCGGAGCTAGTAATTCATTTTACTATCAGTATTCTAAGCAACTCCCAAAATATTTCAAAAGATAAGTTTTTTTTTAAAATTTTTTTTTTTTTTTTTTTTTTTTATATTTTTTTTTTTTTGAAAAAAGTTGTAAAAAGAAATTATGAAAATCGTTATAAACATTGCTTGAATCTAAGATAGATCGTACAATTTAAGAAGATTATTTTTAACTTCCCTTAGTATTTGTAAATCTCTTTAACATTTGTTTCTTATCGTCGCATTGCAGGTCAAAATCTGGTTCCAGAACCGCCGCACCAAGTGGAAGAAGCAGAACCCCGGCATGGACGTCAACTCCCCCACCATTCCCCCGCCCGGCGGCGGCTCCTTCGGACCGGGGGCGTATGCCAGCGGACTCCTGTACTCCCATGCGGTGCCCTATCCGCCCTACGGACCCTACTTCCACCCCCTGGGCGCCCACCACCTCAGCCACTCGCACTCATAAAATTGCAAGATGCAACAGCGATTGTTGCAACTCTTCGAAAAGCGAGGCAGGCCGGAAGTGGGAGGTCCTGCGGCCGGAAGTGGATCGATGGCCCCGTCTGCGCCTTCCAAGGATAAACTGTAAATGTCAAATACTGCTTTAAGTGTGTGTTTAGTTTAGGATCTTTCGTTATCTCGACTCCCTCGATCACGTGCTGTATATAGTTCTTGTATAAATATGCTATGCTAGTGCTTAGAACCTCGAATGCCATATCTAGAATTAAATTATACGATTACTTGTAGCGTTTAAGTGGCAAGCAAAATCAAAAAGAGCAAACCAAAAATTGCATAAATGTCAAGTGAAAAATAAACATTTTAAAAACTACCCAGAGCTTATGTATTTATGTATTTACTCGAATATCGGATGATCGCCTTTGGGGATGCAGGGTGCGTATGTGGGTATATAATCGTGTGAAATGGCAGGACAACGGTGCCAAGTCAAGTGTAAAATTTTAAATTTGCTTCTCATTTGCCGTCAGGGGCTCAGGGGCACTCAGCTACTCAGATACTCAAATGCCCAGATACTCGAATACTCACACCCGGCCACTCAATTATGTGGCAAACGGATGCGAATACGAAATTTCTTAATCCGCTTTGGGTGACACAATGCTCCTGGCTGTCTGTCGGTCTGTCTGGCCGGGATATATCTTCCTGTTCCGGTGAAGTCGGGCGGCGAGAGGTTGTCAAAACAGTGACAAGCAAATGAATAAATTCACGCGCACACACCTCCGGCCCATTGATATTATAATCGCCTCAGCCGGCGAGTGTGTGTGTGTGTTTGTTTGGGCCAAGATGCGTATAATTGAAACAGAAATCGAGAAATCCCATGCATGACCGGTCATTTGGGCCCCGATGCGAATTGACTGCGCCTGCCGTTGACAGCGAGGTCCAAACAGTAAACAGAGCGAGTGGATGCGGGGAAAATCCCTTTATATCTATTACGCCCGGACTCACGCCGCCTTTTTTCTGCATGCGGCTGCATACGGAATTATTTCGCTTTTTTGCCACGCCACCGGATTTCTTTCATTCGCGCTTAAATAATTTATTAACAATTTTTGCTTTTACATTTGTTTAAAGCTTTGCTTAAGTACTTTGCAATTAGTCGCACAAATCCTGTTTGCACCGCACACCCACACAGTTGCGCATACGTATGCGAATGCAAGGACTCTTGTGTAGGTTGGTGTGCGTTAATTTCTGTAAATGTAAGTCGCTAAATTATTCAGCTGCAGACATGTGAGCAAATTCAAACAGAGGGGAAATGGGAGGGGGAGAGTGGGGTCTTGTTTAATTTGCATAAAATTAAATGCTAATTTTAGTTGCACACACTTCGCCACGAAAACTTTTCACGAGAAGGGAGAGAGTGAAAATGGGACACGAATTTCGGCGTGCATTAGCATTCCCTGGGGTTTTCTAAAATAACAATCAAATCTGCGTTCCATAATTCATAATATTGCCTCAAAGCCCTTTAGGGAATAAAAATCCATTCAGTTAATTATTGAGTTTTATAACGGTTTAAAATTAGTGATATTTATTTTTTATCCTTATTTTGCACACGAAAAATATAAGTATTTTGAACGAAACAAAGGAAATATTTGTCCAAATGTCAACTGTAATACCTTGTTCGGCTCGTAATAAAAATCGCAATCAATCAATCAATTTTTTAAATTGGCGAAATCCTTCGCTTTTCTAAAACAGCCGAAAAGTGACGAGGATCAATTTATTATATTGTTAGCTGTGCAAAACTGTATTCAGGATAGATTTAAAACTATTTATAGCCAAGTTATAGCAAAGAAAATGTGGGAAATATTAAAATTTTCATTGAAAAAATCAGTATTTTGTATTATTATCCTACTAAGGGTTGCTACAGTAATAGCAATATCACTCGAATTTTGCGTCCTTACTTGCCTGAACTTAAAATCTAAATAATATTTTTTGCCTCGCGGAAATTATACTATTAACACTATTTCCCAAGGCTTGGTCAAATGCTTTGTGAAAAAATGTAAAGTTTAATGAATAAATTTGATCCCCTTTCCACAGTCGTTTAAATAAAGATCCCATCATTTGCTTAAACTGGGTTCGTGCGAAATAAAAATTGCTTTAAACGGAGCTTCCTAAGCCCTTATACGATTTGAAATTTATACATTGGGGGTGTAAATTAGGCCTGGCGAAAACGCCTGGCAAATCAGTGAGACGATAAATTAACGCCGAGTCGGCCGGCGTTAAGCTACCCTTAACGAGGCCCAAACGCCTCGACGCAAATCCAAGACAATTGCTTTTCAATCCGGAGTGTCACAGCCACCGGAACTGGAAGGAAGTTGGAGAACTTTCGGTGTCACTCTACGAAGATTTTCCGCAGAATCAAAACGCGACACTCACACAATTAAGTCGTTTTCCCCGCCCGCTCATTTTCCATTAATCTGAGCCGAGTTTCCCGTGAATTTGAATTCGATTTCGAGCACTGTTTTGTGGGTCGAGCTTCTCTTTTTTGTTCACGCTTTTCAGAAGAGCCTTCTTATGCGCCTGAATTGCTCCAGATTACGCATACATCACATCCTCGTCCTCGTCCTGGGAACTGAGTATGCGTATATGTATGCGGCCCAGGATGCGTTGGTGTGAGCAGCATTTAATCTGCACCATTGACTTCTCTTCTCTAGAGAAAACCCACTTCTCTCCTCAGACAGAGAAAGCATCCCCTTGGCTGGTTGGTCGGGGTGCTAGTAAATTTTATGCGAATATTTAGTTTGTCCTCTTTATCGGCGCGGCTTTATCGAAACTTATTGTGTTTGTTTAATTGAATTTGGATTGCTGCGACAATTTCGCGGCTGAGTGCGCTCCAAAAACTCTGCCGGAGCGGAGATAAATAAGGATGCGGATTCCGGAGAAGTACTTCTGCTGTCTAATTGGGAGTGGTAGATAAAGTTGCGACTTAGTTTAGTTCATTTAGTACGCTATTCGCTATTTGCCGGCGCTTCCATCTTCCATCTGTTTCTGTGTCCGCAATTAAAATTTAATAAGTGCACCACGCCCTCGGAAAAGTCGGTATATGTTTATCCGTACATATGCGGACTCATATAAATTATGGCCTGAAGTTGACATAAACAAGCTCCCAAGAGTCCTTTTGCCAAAGTTATATGACAGATTTGCGCAGAGCGTTTTGATGAAGAGTCCGGGGGGTGGGCTTTGGGCTGGGATGGTGCAAGGACGAAGGACGCAGGACGCAGGGCCGGAAACGCTAAAGTGCCACCAGGGAGCGGAATGGTGGGTGGTTGGGCGGTCGGCAGACACATGTGTCTTGAGTCACAATCGCCACGGGGTGGGTTCCGCTCGGTCCTTTGTTGTTTTCCAGCCGAATCACATTTTGATGATTGTCAATGTGACTTTAATGCCATTTTTCAACTTCAGGGACCCCTTCCCCTTTCCTTTTCCCGGGGCACGTGCAAAAGGGCTGTCCCAGAGACACTGATCGTAATGCTGACATCTGTGGATTAAATTGCAATTTGTGCTCATGTAATATTGAAGCCCTGCGCTCTAACTGTAAGTGTAACGCGTTTTCGTTTTCTCGCATTGTTTGCAATGCGCGAACTTAACTGGTTCGGTCTGTGTCCTGCGTTTTCCCGGGCTATTAATATTTGAAATACGCGCATGGGCAATAAAAGTGTAAAAAACGCCTTTGCGCTGCAAATTATATTTGATGTTATTATGGTCGATTAGGGAAGAGGGGGATATTTCCCATATGAGCGGCATAGCAAAGTAACAAATGTGGCATTCCAAGGCAGGAGTTCTAATTTTATTAATATCTAACATCTAATATTAATAATAATTTAATTTAATAATTTCTGCAAAATGTAATAAATGTATTGATTTCATTTTTCCTTTCTAATTCCATTGTCTATGATTTGTACTTGCCATTAAAGCTTTCAAAATTGTTTGATTTTTAAATAAAAGCAAAGCTCATTTATTTTTCCTAATCCAGATTATTATTAGTTTACGATTGAAAAAATATACAAATTAGCAACAGAAGAATCTGAAGCAATGTAATCACAATATTTATAGGCAGTGAACCATTACAAAAGATTCACAATGAGGCTTAAATGTTTGAAAATCAACCCCTGAGTGAGAAATCCTATTATTAATTTATCTAAATTATTAGCCAAAAACGTTTCAATCAAAATGTAAGTATAAATTGCGATTTTCCTTGGATAGGATCGAATACCGATTCCCACATTTCCGCTGGCCAATTGAGTGGCCCGTTGGTTAGTATTTAGGCTTCGCACGCGCCGCCAATTCATCATCATCTCGATCAGGCTCACCTGTCAGACGGGATGATTGCGATGTTCCACTCCGAAGGGCATCGCAAATCCAGCGGAATTGAACGTGTGCCCGGCTTGGCTCGTTGGCTCGGCTCGTCTGCCCGAATAATTCGCAGTTAATTTCCCGGCAAGCGTGGCGAAATGAGGCACAAAGCCCGCCAACTCGGTACGCAACTCTGGGCCCTTTTCGTCGATTTTATTTGGTGAGAAAACATTTACGCACTAATTTCTGGGCATTGACTGGGCCACCGGTCCTTCTCCTCCTCCTGCTGTTCCCTTTCCCATTAGCCCGGCGACCGAAAACCAGTTGCATGCCAATTGGTTTGCAATTTGCCGCGCTTAGCAGGGGGTGGGGAGTGGGTGGAGGGCTAGGAGTGGGCATTAGTGGGTGGCTGTAACCTTGGCGGGGGTTGGCCGCAAATAGCGCACGCGTAGCTGTCCGGCGCGTGGCTCAATTACGCGGTTAAATGCATTCAAATTGAGTTGTTTATACTGCGGGCGTGTGCTCGGTCAACTGGGGATCGTTATACTCTGGAGTCAGTATTGCCCAATTGGCTTTTTCTAGCCATAGGTGGCTATGACTTTAGCTATTTTATAAGAAATATTTAAAAATAATGTTAGCAAATTACAAATCATTAATTAATTTACAAATAAGATGTTTTTAATAAGTTTTTTTTCTTCAATTACCCATACAAATTTAATAAATAACAAGAAAGGAAGCTACCTTCGGCCAGCCGAAGCTTATATACCCTTGCAGATAAAGTATTGCTCACTCGGTGCTGTTCCAGGGATTCCAGATTCAGCGTTTCTATTTTTGAATTTTGTTTTTAAAGAGTCAAGAACTAAAACGCCTACTTCCTACAAAATAACAACGAATTTTCTTATATATCTTTGAATATTCCTATGGGAGCCTTAAGATATAGTGGTCCGATTCGGCTCGCTCCGACATATGTCCTACCTGCAATAGAAAGAAGACTTTCGAGAAAGTTTCATCGCGATATCTTTAAAACTGAGAGACTAG